GAGACGAAAACCTTGAAGATAATCAATAGAACCTAAAGCAAACATAGAAATAACAAAAGAAGTTAAAACAGTTAGCAACTCATGTCTCAAAACCTCTATGTTTGTTGGAAAGGGACATTCTCACTTATATAGTCTTGCATTTTGGGCAATAATAAGTGCTGGAAATGAGAGATTCTTGAGATCAAATGTCAAACAATAAAAGCATAGCCGTATTACAAAAAACTCAATCAATTCTGCCATTAGAAGTTGCTAAGTAAATCTTAAGCCACGAACCTCTGACTTGTGACCAAAATCTTTGTTTATGTAGGCATTTGATACTCGTCCGATCTTGCTTTGTGAGTGTAATAATAAGTGATAAGTCATTTCAAGCACGTGAATTGTTACTTTCTCACGTGAATTGCAATTTTGCTTTTGTACGGCTGAAATTTAGGAATTCGGTGGTGCTTATGATGAATGAAGTTTCTTTTTATTTTTGGCTGATAGTGAAAGATTTGAGCAGAAAAAACTACAGCTTGACAGTTAGGATGAACTTTAAGGATAGCTTGCCATGTGAAATTTTTAAGATTATTTTGATTTTTGCTATAATGAGGTGTATAGATAGATTCACGCTTACTACTCAGCTAGACATTTTTTTTTAACTAATATTAGTACAAAATATCTTATGAATATATTCCAATTACACGGGCCACCTGAAAATGTGATATGTAACAATAAATTGTTTTCTTAAACAAAAGGTAATTTTGAAAAGGTAAATACCTAAGTAATATCTTATCAATATATTGTTTTCTTAAAAAACATAATTTTTAAAAGGTGAATGGTTTCTCACTCATTTATTTAATACTTAAAATCTTTTTTCTTATGAAAATTACATAAGTAGCGAATGAGGAGTTGGTTCAGTGATAAAACCACCCTTGCTCCAAGAGAAGGTCATGAGTTCAATCCTCCACTCCAACAAAAAGTGAGGGATTGACTCTCACCTTGCATATTAGCAACTCTAGGGGCTTGTTATAGCTAATCCACTAATGAACTCCCGATTTCGCTCCCGAGCTTGTTACCTCGAACTTGTATGAGTGGTTTAGCTCTCACTGTGGTTTGCAGGGTATTGCAGGGGGCGTGGATTTACCCATTTTTGGTGGGGTTCCCGGCGTTACTAAAAAAAAAAAACTACATAAGTAAAATACAGGACCACGCGTTCTGTGGGTAGAAAATTCCTAGTATATGGGATCATACTTATTTGACTTTCTACCCTCCCTTCTTTTTAATAATTCGAGATTGTAGAAAGTACACCACAATTAATCATAGAAAATTGAATGTTGGTTTTAGTATGTTGTATGGATCGTTAAAAATTATAACAAAGCCGTCGCTTACGGGCAAGAACTTGCAATTTCTTTGAGAAGACGAGTCTTGGTCCTTTAATTTTAAAACATAATATCAACTCCTCATTAAAACCTTTGCACCGTTTTCGTCCCAGCAAAATGGGCCCTTTCATTTATGAATATGGTAAAGTGAAGCTTAACGCATTTCTAATGAATTCATTGGCTTTAGTCCATTGTATTCGATTATTTATTGACTGGTAGGTAATTGAACAAAAGGCGATCAAGAATAAGGAGCTACCATGTAAATTGAAAAAAGTAGAGGGACTAAAACGACATCACAAAAACTGAAATACTCGTGGGCCAAAATATTTTGGGCTGAAGATTTCACACGGGCCTAAACACATTTCTTTTCCGACAGGCTGAACTGGGGTTAGTTTTAGGTCTATTAAGGGTTTTAATACAATAGGGTAGGGGGTATATGCATCTTTTATTAGGGTTTCTTTCCTCGGAGGAGTGAAGCAAATCGGCGAAGACTACTACGCGCAGCTGCAGCCATGGTTCTCAAGTATGCTCTCTGTTCTTCTGATGCCTTTCTTTAATCGTCCTTTTTTTCGTTTGTAATTATTTGAAATTCAGGTTTCTGCCGATAATTCGAACAAGATTATGAACACATGAATTCAATTTCCGCCCGGAAAAGTTTCCAAATTTCATTTCTGCATATTCCAGAATTTTAGATTCATAGCGAAATGAGAGGACGAGGATAATTAGGAATATAGAAATAGTGGCAAATTTGTGTCGAACTCGAACCCTATGGTCTCTATTGCAACTGAGAGTGAGTTGTGACCTCTTAGCATATGGTTCTTTGTAGGTAGGTTTTAGATTTTCATTTTGAGCTGAAGATGTGTTCTTTTAAGAACTGCATCGAGATTGATCTTCTTGGATTTTGTGCTGTTAAATCTTTTGAGGATTTATATTCCGGGTCCTTTTAAGATTCTATTTATGTTTGTGCAATTTGTGAATGTTGTGTGTGTAATGGGGTGAGTTAAAATTGAAAACCTCAGAAGATATTGGATTTGAGGTATCACTCGTCGTCAGAGTGGAGTTAGGAGCCTGTTCTTGTGTGCTCTTAAAGAAATACCTAGGCAGATTTGAATATGTAGGTTATGTCTTCTACATTACAGAGTTTATTCCTTGTCAAATTAGTTATTTGATTGATGATAAATTGCTTTTCTTTGCCTGTTTGTTGACATTTTACTTTATGCTGACCTCTTTGGAATTCAGGGTGTCTTGCCTCTGTAGTCTGTACTGAACTGTGAATACTGTTTTGCAGGACAGAGTTGTGTCGTTTCAGTGGGGCAAAGATATACCCAGGGAAAGGAATCAGATTTGTCCGTGCAGATTCACAGGTAGTTCCGGTTGCTGTTTTGTTATTTTTCCCTCTCCCGTGAACAAAATCTTTGTTTCCTCCCCCAAAACCATTTGATAATAATTTATTGAATCATTTTCTTTAGGTCTTTCTCTTTGCCAATTCAAAATGCAAGCGGTACTTCCACAACCGTCTGAAGCCGTCAAAGCTCACCTGGACAGCAATGTACAGGAAACAGCATAAGAAGGTAAGAATTTCCTCTAAGCGATATTGTCGAGAACTGCTGATGTCTTGCATATTTCCCTTACTTCTGCATGGTTAGAAAGTTCAATTGGTAGTAGGAAGTGCCAATGTTTACCTGAATGTCGGACAATCTCCATTAATTTCCCCGCTGCTTGGTATTTCAACACTGCCTTGTACGTACCAATACAATTCGTCGGTGCTGCAATAATTTGGCTGTTTTTGTGAGATTTCAGGATATTGCGCAAGAAGCTGTGAAGAAGAGGAGACGCACCACTAAGAAGCCCTACTCTAGGTCTATTGTGGGTGCCACTTTGGAGGTTATTCAGAAAAGAAGAACTGAGAAAGCAGAAGTTCGTGATGCTGCTAGGGAAGCTGCTCTCCGGTTAGCATCCTCCTTCATTTTTGTTCATTTTCCCATCAACACCTCTGATTTGTGTTTTTGCTTGTAAATATCCTGTTTGCTTGTTTTGCTATCCTGTTGTTTCTTGGAGTGATATGTGATTGTTAGTTTTTTCAGTTCAAATCATCCAGGGTGATTTGTACTCTCTGTCCACCTTTGGATTTTGGTGTTGTATAAATTGTGGGAATGAATTGAAAATGGTTGCCATCAAATATAGAAACTGCAGTTAGGAAATTTGTTTGCCCGGGGCATTATGTTACTGGAATACCAATTTGCTCTGTTTGACACAAGCCTGATTTCTTGCCCCTTTGTTCTAGTCCCAAGTTACCTTATCTCGTGCTTTTTCTTCTTTTTCTTCTGTGTTCATCACACAAGATGCTCGCTCTGTTAGAGACTACTCAAATTTGCGTCAGATATTCTCCTTAACCCTTATTAAAATCAGTTTGAACAGATAAAGCACCAAACCTTTATTTTGCGAGTCTGTATACTTCTGTAGTCAAATGATATGATTTCATTTTTGGGCAGTGAAATTAAAGAAAGGATAAAGAAGACGAAAGATGAGAAGAAGGCAAAGAAGGCAGAGGTCATGGCTAAGAGTCAGAAGGGAGGGAGCAAAGGGAATGTGCCCAAGGGTGCTGCACCAAAAGGCCCTAAGCTCGGAGGCGGTGGCGGAAAACGTTGAAGCTTCTTACTTTTTTGTTTATTCACAATATCAAAATGGTAGTTCTATGCATTGTAATTTTAAGCATCCTTAGCCGGCTGGAGCACCTTTTACATTATAATTTTGGTTCCAAACCTGCGTTTCCAAGTATTTTGTTGCCATGAATGCTAAATTTTGGTACATGTGTCTTATCTTTTTCAAACCATTATTTACTGGGGTACAAGGGATATCTAGTTGGACTTGATTATATGATCAGCCCATCCTGGTTTATTTGCAACCTGGGGTACAAGGGATATATAGTGACTCGAAAGCAACTAGACTTGTTTTGACATTGCAATATGGCATGTAAGTTCATGTGTACCGATTAGTCTTACAACATTGCACCGGAATCACAAAATATATTGCATTAGGAAGCATACGGAGGTATAACCTGATCTAGACTATACCTAATCATTTAAAGGGCATTTCCTTTATCTCTCTTCCTACCGTCTTGATATACGTTTATACGAGGACTTGTACATCTTTGCCCTAATCAGTGATAGATAAATTGACTTTGATTTAGTGAAAAATTTGTGATTAAAAGATGATTTATTCCCATAATTTTTCTGGATTTTGGGACAAAATCCCTAATTTTTATTGTGGTGAAGTAAAATCACCAATATTCAACACTAATCATTTTTTTTATATGTATTAATCAAAACAACCAATCCAATAAAAGAAATAATCAAAATTTAAGAATTTGAAATAAATTAATCAATTTAGATCGCATTAGATCACTTTTCAATATCATCATCGGAAGAAGGTTGTAATATGTTTCAAAGGTTATAGTTTCCAGAACCTGAGGGTTAGAGTGGTAATGTAAACAAAATCGGGGGTTTTAGATGAAAATTCACCCGACCTCTTGTCAAATACAGGCTAAACGACAGCGTTCGCCGATTTATCTCTTTCAGGCTGCAACAATAACGTTGTTTAGTCCCTCGAGTTCAATCGGAGAAGAATAAGCAAACCCTAATCATGGCAATTGCAAGAACAGGGGTTTTTGTTGATGATTATTTAGAATGTAATTTCGGACTCTTCAATCTTCAATTCTCTTAATTTTTTGCTCTTGATATTCTGGAATTTGGTCTTAAATATTGCTGTAAATCTACGACAGATGCAAATACTTTACCCGCTGAGCTTCAGAGACTTCTCAACACCATCCGGGAGCTGGATGAGCGTTCCCAAGGTATTGAACTATGAATTTCTGTAATTTTTCTTTTTACTGGATATTTTTGTATTAAATATTATCTTATTGTGATTTCCTTTATTTTGTGAAAAAAAAAAAAAAGCAATGATAAACCAGGCCAGTCAGCAAACTAAGCTGTGTTTAGGGATAGCTTCTCGTAGGAATGCCCATAGTAATTACATTGACGATGGTAATGATGAGAATTTCGAGAAGATGAGGAAGGAGATTGAGGCTAGTCAAGAAAACGCGTTAAACCTTTGCACTGAAAAGGTCTTATTGGCACGACAAGCGCACGATTTGGTATGTTTTGTAACTATATGTCAATTTTTGTAGTTTACGTACTTTTCTGATTTATTTTGTTAATGTGGTGCCTGGATGTGTTGACATTTTATGGTTAAACATAAATACTTGTTTTACATAAAAATCTAAGCATTCGCTAGTATTCCTGTTTCCTCTGTTGGCATGTGATATGTCATGTTTACAGTACAGTTTCGGTAATTGTCTAGGGTATTGCACTACAAGAAAGTAACTGAAAGATTGTCATTGTGTTGATTGATATAGCCCTTTGGTTGGAACACTTGGTAGGGAAGTAGGAGGTTGTGTCTGCTGACTCTTTTCATTAAAGACTTGTGACTCACTTGCAGGAGATTTAAAAAGTTCTTCATCTTAGATACTCATGAGGTTCATGTTTCTTTGTGGTTTAGTTGATCTCAATGTTTGGAACATATGATGAACTTGTGACTTGTAACTCCTCTTATTCATGGATAACTATTTTGGACCAAAGTTCTTGACAAGTTTTTTCATGGCCCTATTTTCCAGATAGATAGCCATATAAAGCGTCTCGATGAGGATCTGAACAACTTTGCAGAAGATCTCAAGCAAGGTGGAATTTAGATATCCTCGATTAATGTCTTATGAGCTTAGCCAAACAGCTAAGAAAATTACTAATTGATTGGGTTAAAGCACATCCTTTAAGTGAACGTAGACCTACATGGGGCATAGGATTCAACTGTTCCATCAGCAAATTGATTCAAAGGGTATTAATATTTCCAGTGAACCAGATAATCATGCAATATTTTGATTTTGCATCCTCATAGGGTATCAATATGTCAGTGGTTAGTCACCTGTGGCCTTAACACTTGTAATTGATTTACTGATGAATGTTTCAGAAGGAAAATTACCTCCTGACGAGCCAGCTGTCCTCCCCGCATTGCCGTTGATAGCCAAAAATGAAAAACGCAAACACTTTTTTGGTACTCCTCAACCTAAGAAGGTTGAGTACAGGGATAAGGATTGGGACCGAGAGCGTGATAGAGACTTTGAACTTATGCCACCTCCTGGCAGCCTTAAGAAAGAATTTGTTGCACCTGCTGATATTGATCAACCCATTGATCCAAATGAACCTACTTATTGTGTCTGCAATCAGGTTTCTGGATACGTTAACTTATTTCTCTGTGCTGCAAGATTTCTATTTTGTGGACAAAATATTGTAATAAATCTTTGACAATATGACAAACTTCTGCTTCATCTCAAAATTTTCAGGTATCATTTGGCGATATGATTGCTTGTGACAATGAAAATGTGAGTTCCCTTAGTATCATTATTTCCTTTCGCTTGTTGTTCTTGTAGCTTTTAAAATTCCATTGCATAGTGTACCTATATGATTCAAAGGACCCAGTGTCGCTCCGAGGCATTGTCGTATCTAACGGTGTATTCTTTCGACTGACTATATGGAATGAAAAGGAGCATTGCTGAGTTTAAGTTTTGCATTAGCATGTTCGCTTCAGGCTTCATTTATGAAAATGATCGTCCATTACTTATGAAACTCAGTTTTCTTCATATGAAAGAGTAAAATTCCTGGAAATGTTTAGAGAATGATCTAAAGTTATCCTTAAATAGACTTCTTTGGTTTTAATAATAGCATCCATTAAGTCTTGGAAGGCATTTGTGTTCACCCAATAACTGCAAGTAGTTTACCCCACCAAAAAACAGCTTGCTGCACTGAGGGGTAACAAAACGCTTAGGCTGAAACACAATACTTTTAATTTTAGTGGCTAGGCAACTGAAAAGAGTTCATAGATAGTGCAATACTTTTGAATTGTCCCTTTATGCAAACAAATACTTTTGATGCTACAACAAATACCTAGTATAGTCCCAATTCTGTTGGGGTCTTGAGGTGAAGTGGACAAATGTATATGACAGTAAAGATGAGAGGAGTTGAAGAATACGTATAGAGAAGAAGGGTTACTGTTGCTTATTAGAGTTGGGTAAGAACTCTTTAGTTAGATGAAGAAAGATTTACTTTCAAGAAAGACCTTTACCCTTTTCGAATTTCAGTTAATTGTTCTTGCACAAATGTTGATATGCTGATGTTTATTTATTTTTTATTTTTTAAAATTTAATCTTGATATAGATATATTGCAGGAAGACATTTTCCTAAAACTTTATCATCTTAGTATTAGCTAAATTGTTGGGAAACATAGGGCGGTAAATTCTTGTATACAGAGAAATGTAATTTACACCTTGTTGTCCCAATGATGTAAAACATTTTCATGACAACAGGTTGTCGAATAAAACACAAACACACACCCTACATAGAAAAATTGTTTAGTTTGATCTGGCTGGCTCATGATTTATTTCTAGTAAGAGTTTTTCTGAAGACGAGGATTTCTTGTTTTCTTTTTCTTTTTGTGACAGTGTCAAGGTGGTGAATGGTTTCATTACACTTGCGTTGGATTAACACCAGAGACAAGATTCAGAGGAAAGTGGTATTGTCCAACGTGTAGGCAACTACCACATTGACTTCTTGATCTTGTGTTGGCTTAACACTTGAGTTCAAGATGGTAGAGGAAGCTGGTAGTATCCTATCCCACATTCTGTTTCATACTTGTTTAAAAGAAGACTATTTTCTAGTTTATCGTGTATCGTTTTTTGACTAGATAGCGTTGTAGCATTTAATTTTGTTCAGAACAACAGTCTTGAGGTTAAAGAGAATAGCTGATATTTGTTTGTACACCAAGGCTCCAGAAAGAAAAGTTTCTTGGACTTCAAACTGTTGAAAACGCAAAAATTGGGTTTGAGCGATGTTTTAAGTTCAAGAACGAGTTCAAGTCCAATAAATGGGTGAGGGAGGCTAGGAACATGATGGTCCTTACATTACACCCTTTTCACAATGTAAGTCGATTTTGAGTAGCACAAGTATTAAGAGTTAATAATTGGTAAAGATAAAAGGTTCACTTTAACCTTAATTGATAAGGCCAATTACTACTTAACTCAAAAATCATCATAGCGATAAGAGTAACTTAGGTAAAATAAATAAAATTATGCATTGAGATATAACGTGGACTTATACTTTAACATAAACCAAAATTGAAACTGGACTTGCAATGGTAAAATAAAGGTGGTATTATAGAGCAAATGGTTATTCAGAACATGGGAAAAAATGGCCATCTTTGGACGGTTGTTCAGAACATGGTTATGTCATGTTGTGTTCTCAAAATATTTCTTAAAACGTATTTGTTTTTGTGAATTCCGAATACAGTGACATGTTTTTAAACCATTAATTTATTATATTTTCTCCTAATAATATTGATCATTGTCGCCGCCAGTCAATTGATCCGGTAGCGGTCAATGATTTTTCCGAGAATATTATTTTTCTTTGTCCAAATATGATTTTTTTTAAAACAAAAATTAAAACTATCTCAAATATACAAATACACAAAACTTAAATATAGAGAATAAAATATAACTTAAAACTTTCTCCGTTGTAAGATAAAATGATGATACATCATTTTGAATTTAACTACTCCCTTCAGTCCTTAGTGTAAGGTATTTTAGTTTATAATAGGTTTCACCTAATACACATTTTCAAGTAATAAAAAAACCTTATATTTATATTCTCCCATTTGCTGTATTCTCTTGATTATTATGAAATATTTTTAAGATTATTTTATTAATTAAAAAATCTTAATAAGTGAAACCTAGAACCAAGCAAAATACCTTATATTAACGCCCGTAGGAAGTATAATATGTTGTGTTGGGTCTACTCCTCCAACTAGACAAGTGTTTATGGGTTAGTTCAACTTTTTTTACTTTTGGGCTTAGTGAGATTCAATCTGACCTAATCTACTACATTCGGATTTTGACGAAGTATGGATCTGCACGGTGCTTAGAGAGGGCGGCGATGATGATCTAGTCGGCGGTGAACGGCCTAAAACCTGCAAGCCAGAGTCTCGAGTGTCTCCCCGAAAGTAGACTCTCCGATGTTTAGGTCAATAAGAGAATAGAGAGAATAGAGAGAGAGTTATGTGTATCGTGTGTAGAAGGCGTAGAAAATAGGTAGAAGATATGTAGAAGATGTCAATATGAGAGAGGCACCACCTCTTTATATAGAGGTGGTGTTATCTGTTTCCTGAAATTCTAGCAGAATAGATTTAGGCGATGGCTTAATTTCTAAGTAATCTAATCCTAGGCCCAATAGGTCTAGGGTTCCTGAACACCAATTTTTTTTGTTTGGGTCAAACTAGCGGACCCCACTGTTTAAGAAATTAATAAAAGAATTAAAGATTTAACGGTCAACAAGTTTGACCCGTTAAGTTTGTAAAATTTCTGTTAAATTGACCAAAATTGATGAAAAAAATATTTTAGTAGACTTTTTTGCCAATTGAAAAATTCATGGTGACTCGATCTTGCTACGGTTAAAAGCTGGGGGATGAAAAGTGAATTCGGTCCTATGATAAAAGTAATATGCTTGTAACAAGAATTATGATGTCAATGATATATGAACTTATGTTCGAGAAGCATATAATAATGACAAGGTTTATGAAGTACCTCGGTCCGAGATAAATTGATAACTCGAGAAAGTGTTACATCGATTCCTAGAAGGTAGTTGTTGAGTAGATAAAAGTCGAGATACATCTTCTCGAACACTCGAGTAGTAGTAAAGTGCTCGAGGGATAGTTGCCCCTTCGAGGAGATGTATCTCTTGAAACTTCAATCTTCGAGATTGCCACTTGCTAATTGATTTTTCTGCCCCTTCAATGGATTTTGAACTTCAGGGACTATTCTGAAAACATAGAAACTATAGGGGTCAAAATAGAAATAATAGAATATATAAGGGCTAATTTGCAATTATAAAAATTGTAGAATTATTCTCGAGCAGTTGACTGCTTTTGGCCATCGTGAGCTGTTTGCTTGCTACTGCGACTTCTCGGTTGAATTGGCATTGTCATTCTCGGTTAGCCTTTGTCTTTCAATGGCAACCATATTTCTTTGTTGCAATAGGACACGCAAGTTGCAAACCAACCACCATGGTAATCACCATGTAGCTCCAATAAATCTCAATTTCGTGTCAAGAAATTTATTTGGTTGTAAGGACCAAACGAATCATTCCCATTGGGCGTGCCACTTGACGAAGTATGGATCTGCATGGTACTTGGGGAGAGCAGCGATGATGATCTAGGCAGCGGCGGACGGCCTAAAACCTGCAAGACAAAGCCTCAGGTGTCTCCCCGAGAATAGACTCTTTGATGCTTAAGTCAATAAATGAATAGAAAGAATAGAGAAAGAGGTATGTGTATCGTGTGTAGAAGGTATAGAAGATAAGTAGAAGATAAGTAGGTGTCAATTATGAGAGAGGCATGTTTCCTGAAACCCTAGCGAAATCGATTTAGGCGCTGGCTTAATCTCCAAGTAACTTAATCCTAGGCCCAATATGCCTAGAGTTCAGTTTGGACTCGTCAGATTTCATCATTCTTGAGGAAAAGGTAAAGGTAAAGGGTGGAAAAGGATTACCAAGTGGTTCCGATAAGAAATATCGACGGAATTACCAGCAATCGGAATTTCAAGTCTTTTTCCAATCGTCTCCAAGTAATTGCCCGTGGGCTGTGAGATTTAGGTCCAAAATCTTACAATATCATACCAAATTATCTTGTGAATTCTGATGATGCCTTTCAAGCCTTTTTTCGAAGTAAAAGTCTTTGCAGTGACTTGGTAATACATGAACATCGGCAGAACCAGCATTCTCACTCCGCAAGTGTGCCTTATATTATATGCATCGATGGCATAGAGTAGTTTGGTCTCTTCTCAATAAAGAAAAGAAGATGATGGATGTAAATTTTGAGGTGTTTTCCTTTGAAATGCAACGAAAACATGTGGTTTATCATTTATCATTTATGCCTAATGATTTTGTTCTACTCAAGCGAAGTATGTATTTTACTATAATTCTTTTTCCTGTCTTTTCTAAAGAAAAAAGTGTCCAGACGATCTAAACATTGCTTCTTCTTCTTCTTTTTTTTTTTTTAAAAAAAAACACTCATAAAAATGCTTGTTTGGTGTTTTCTTGGAAAAACTATAGAGAAACAACGGGTTTCACTGAAAATATAGTCTGCAATAGACTTGGCTTTCTTAACTTTAGAGATTTAATTAAGGCAATCTATTAATTAGCACCTTTTTTATAACTTTGAATTATTTCTTAGAATTTTTGGTTTAAATAATTTTTAGAATAAACATGTTTAATAACCAAAAAAATGGTCCACTTATTTGACTAGCACCGTTGAAACTATAGGACAATTTTACGTAATAAAATGAGTGGTGATAAGAAAGTGAAAAATCATAGTGACTTTGGTGTAGTGATTGATGTGTAAAACACTTATTAGTTAATTTTTTAGAGGTAGTTTATTATCATCACATGAACTACCAAATACATATTTACAAATCAGTCACTACACGAATGTCATTACAATATTTCACTATACTTATCATTTCTCTAATAGAATATGGCTTAATGTTGCTAATTACTCCCATCCATCTTTTTCTTTAATTATTTACGATATTTATCCCCAAAAATACATACAAAATAAAGTTGGTGATAATCTAAATGGTAAACTTAGTTGATTCTCTATTTTCAGACAGAGAAAAAAAAAAAAATTTTTTTGCAAGGCTTATAGAGGAATCCTTAGGTGCAACTTTTATAGAACAATCAAATGTACGTGTCTTAAGCTGTTTCTGAATTTTATAGGCCAAAATATAGCAATTTAATGTATGTATCTTTAGGGTTTTTTTGGGAGGGCTTTTGGAGGAATCCTTAAGTGTAATTTTTAAAGAATAATTAAATATATTTTATATATATTAGGAGAACACAATGGGTGTAAAAATATATTTTAAAGATTTTATTTTCACTTGAAAAAATTTTCTAAATGAAATTTAAGATAAATCAAAATACATTATAATAAGAATCAAAAGGAATACTACTACTTAAAAATTCCTAAAAGAAACAAACAAGTGGATTCTTCACAAACAAGGAATACTACTACTTAAAAATTCCTAAAAGAAACGGGGTACGAAACCCCAATTATATATTCACAAAACGGGGTACGAATAAAAAGAGAAGAAACAAACCCCGTTTTGTGAATATATGAAACTAGGCATCGTTTTTTTTTTTTTTGAACAAAAGGAGAGGCGATGCCTAGTTTCATATATTCACAAAACGGGGTACGAAACCCCAATTATATCATGATTGAGCCACGACCGAATTTATATCGGAGGATCTACATAATGATGAATTCCTACATAACTAGAGTCTAATAACGATGCTATTGCATCTGCCGTAAAATTCGCCTCCCAAAATTTATGCCTCAAAAGGACTGTCCAGTCTCTATCTAACAATTTCCTAATCTCCCGAATCAATTCATGGTGCACTGATGGAACTCTATTACGGTTATGGACTAATTGGATAGCAGGTTTGCTATCAAGTTCGACCTGCACCCTCCGAAATCCAGATTCCCATGCCAATCGCAGCCCATAATAGAGTCCATGCAACTCCGCCAAAGTGATTTTTCCCGGTCCAATATATTTTGAGAAACCTCCCAGCCAACTCCCATTCCCATCCCTTATCAACCCCCAGCCCTCCCTACTCCTAGGTTATTATCAAAAGCTCCGTCCATGTTGATCTTCACCCGATCAACCGGGGGCGGTTCCCATCGTACCCACATTTCCTCTCTTCTTCCCCCCAGGTTTGTGACCTTCCTCCTACTCTCTAATGCTTCCAAAATATTATCCACCACCCTCCCAATCTCTTCTATTCTCATGTCTCCCTTAAACTTCTCCTCCCCAAAAAAAAAAAAAATCGTCTCTCCATGCCCACAATTTCCAAACAGTAACACCAAACACCAGTCTCCATCTGCCCCCTTCCCTCCCCTGCTCTGGAAGATTATCAACCAACCAATCCTCTAAAATCCGTCCAAAGAATCCCCTCTCTACTCCCAACGGGATCAATTTCAGCCATACCTGATTAGGCCGATATCTCTCCTGATTAGGCATAAGTCTTCCTTTCGCGACCAACCACAAACACATCCGAATCCTCTCCGGGCCATGGCACCTCCAGATATAATTCCAGATTTGTTGCCCCTCTTGTGTTTCTTCATTCCTAAAAGACTCATAAGCTGATTTGGTTGAAAATTCGCCCCCATTCGACCAACCCCAGTAAGGTCTATCCTTTACTCTTCCCTCCGCCGGTGGGAGCATAGTAACAAGCTCTGATAGGATTGCGGCGGTAACAATTGTTGCAGAAAGCTCCAATTCCAAGAACCTCCCTCCGTCACCACATCCTTGACTACCCATTTATTCTGATACTCCGGAATTGACTGGGTCACCCGATTTCTTAACCTACCTTGACCCGGAAACCACACATCATTCCAAAAATTTATCCTCTTCCCATCCCCCATAGCCCACTTAATTACATTTTGGACTTTGGCCCACACTTTCTTTATGGATCGAAATACTGCTGACCCATTAGAAGCGTCTAACCCAATTTCCCCCATATTCCCTCTCCCATATTTGGCCCAAAAAATCTGGGCCCAGAAAGAGTCAGGCTTAGTGGCCAGTTGCCAGCCCAACTTTGCCAAGAAAGCCTTGTTCAGTTCCTTAACCCTTTTTAGCCCAATCCCACCCATAGCCTTCTGCTTACATAATTCCTCCCACCCGAACAAGCTTACTTTCCTCTTATCATCGTTCCCACCCCAAATGAATCTCCTATAGAGCCTTTCCAACTCATTGTCAAATGGTGCTGGAATCATCACCGATTGCATAGTATAATATGGCAGCGTGCTAATCACCGATTTCGTCAAAGTGATTCGCCCTGCCAAGGACAATGAATTAGCCTTCCACCCTGCCAGAGCTCTTCATGTCTTCTCCAAAATTCCATCATACAAATCCCTTCAATTCCTTCCATTTATTAAGGAAATACCCAGATACCGACCGAGATCGTCCACCACCTGAAAGCCAAGCAATGCTCCCAGCCTACCCTTTTCTTCGGCCTCCACATTATTTGAGAAGAACACCGTCGTTTTCGGCTCACTGAATCTCAGCCAAGAGGCCTCCGAAAACTGGCTTAGAACACCCTTTAACAAAACCACCTGACTCTCCTCCGCCTCCAAAAACAGCATGAGATCGTCCACAAACATTAGAAAGGAACTTTGAATTTCCTTCTTCCGACTATAATTGGTCTCCAAGCTCCCCCTTCCACCTTTTCAGAGATTAAGTGACCCAATCTCTCTATACACAATACAAACAAGTACGGGGATAATGGGTCCCCTTGCCGTTGTCCCCTAGACGATTTAAATGCCTCCGTCACACCTTCATTAACCTAGATTTGCATGGTGGATGTTGTTATACACGCCATAATACTCCTTATCAGCTTGGATGGAAATCCTCCTAGGGTTAATGTTGCCTCAACAAACTTCCAGCATGTCATAAGCCTTCTCTAAGTCTACTTTCACCGCCATGAAGCCTTTCATCCCCTTCTTATTTTTCGTTGAATGCACCAACTCTTGCGCCATAATTATGTTATGTCCATTTTTGTTGTAGTGCCTGCTCCTCAAGTTTCAATTTTTCTACCCGTTTCACCCCAGTTTCATCTTTCAAACTTCTCATCAATCCAACTAAGGGGTACATTGCACTTATGATCAAATTTTGCAAGTGACAAATCACCTCGAGTCCCTCCAACGTTATCAAGCAAGGCCAACCTGGAAAACTCTATCTCGGTGTTTTCGAGTAATAGTTAAGAAAATTGATCTGACCTCCCCAGAAACAGAGATTCTGAGAAAGGGTTCTCATCCTAGATTGATATCTTTGTTGGGATATAGCTGGGATCATGAGAAGGACAAGTTTCTGGTTTACGATTACAACGAGTATATGCCTTCCGGGGATATAATTATGTTATCATTTATATGCCTCCCTGGTATGAAGCTAGCTTGGGCTGGTCATGATTCTCGCCAAAACATGCTTCACTCGGTTGGCAATGACCTTAATGATCAACTTATGCAAAATGTTACATAGACTAATTGGCCTAAAAGCTTTCATCGTCTCCGGGTATTCCACCTTTGGTATTAACACTACCAAGGTTTGATTGATGGACTCTGGATTCCTTTCCCCCTCTAAAACTTCTTTCACTATTTTGCACACTGCAATTTTCACTGTCAGCCAGCTTTTCTGATAAAGGATGGCCTGCATTCCATCTGGCCCCAATGCCTTTAGCGGATGCATATCAGATAGGGCTTGGTGAATTTCTATTTCCCTAGTACTCCTATCTAGCAATTGCGTATGTGCACTCCCAATCACAGGGAAACCTCTGACCCCTGACAACGCTAGCCTTTGGTTCCCAGAAGTCATATAAAGCCTCCTAAAAACTGCCTGGCAGCTTCTCCAATTGCGTCTGCCCTATAATCAATTTCCCTGACGCATCCCCCAATTGCAAAATTCGGCTCCTGCTTCTTTTGGTACGCACCATTCTATGGTAGAATGATGTGTTTCTATCCCCGGACAGGTTCCAATCACGTGTGGTCTGTTGGATGAGCAAAACTTCCTCCTGCATAGCAATATTCTCAAGCTCATTCATCAATTCCTTTTCCAAATCCAGCAACCTATCAGTCACATATCATTCTTTTTCTCTCTAAACACCCGCAATCCGGGCTATAACTCTCTTTTTCCTCCTCCTAATGCTCCCAAAAACTTCAACATTCCACTTGCCTGCTTCCTGTTGAAATCCTCTTGCAGTTTCCTCATACGATACCCCCTCCTTCCACGAGTTTGCCAACATCATTTGGAATCCCTCATGTAGTAGCTAGGAGGCCATGAACTTAAAGCCTTTCTGTCTGCCACCTCCACTCCCTACAAACGTTGCTTTCACCAACAAAGGATTATGATCGGAATTCACCCTTTGAAGGTGGTGTGTAATCACCCCCTGAAACTTCTCCTCCCACATCTCATTACACAAGAACTTATCTTGCTTTTTCAACAGCTAACCTATTGACCATGTGAATTGGGTTCCCATTGTGGGTAAATTGATCAACCCATTCCTGAAAACCCAATCAGAAAAAAGTTGACACGGGCCTCCATTGCGTGAAGATCCCTCGATCTCTCTGACTCGTACAAAATGCAATTTAAATCACCTCCAATAATCCATGGCTCCTTAACCCCCTCAGCAACCACCTGCAAATCTTCCCAACCTTCCTAGGTCCCGGTTGAGGACTTGTATGTACAAAGGTACAAAACATTTTTTCCATCCCAAAAAACACCCGCGTATGAACAAATTGCTTAAGACACAACAACACTTCTACTCGGACTGCTCGCCTCCACATTAACAAGATTCCACCTAAGAAACCCTGGGCTTCCACATGAAAAGAGAATTGGAACCCACTATTTTTTATGAAATCGTCTACATCACATCCACTTATACATGGCCTATGCTCGTTTGTAAAGTCTTCAAATGTTTTCTGAAATTTCTTGGAAGCAGCCCCCTGGACGTTCCAAGCAAAAATCTTTGGTGTTATTATCATTAAACTTATTGAAAATTGGTAAGGGTCTAACCTCTTAAAGGCTTTGTTGGACCATTGTCCTCTTGTCATCATCTTCATCCATTTCCTGACCATCCGCCGATGAAGCATCTTTTTATTCCGTGCTCTCATCAGCCTCTAGTTGAATCTTTGGTTCCGTTCCATCCGGTGGAACATTCTCCATAAGTATGTCTCCAGTCTTATTGATGTATTCTGGGTTTTCCCGACCCAAATCCGGCGGCCTTGTTAGGTCAGGTTTCATGCCCGTTAAGACTATAACAGCCTTATGCTTGGTTGGGTCCAACGTTGATCGGGCCTGTACCACGCAATAAGGCTCAGTCCTCCCTATGAATCTTCATCCATAGTTGTGCAATCCTGGCACATGGGCTCTCCAACTTCTCCTTGGGTTTCTACTATCTGGGCCTTCCCTTTGCTGGTCTTTGGGTTTGACAATCTAGAATTATCTCGCATGGATCTCGCAAGCCTCTTTTTGTCATTAGCCTGTTTAGCTGTCCCCTCCCTGGCCTGATGTTGTCCACTCGTATCTGTTACTTCCCGATCAGTGCGTGCGCCTGCTTTTGGATCCTTGGGACTCACATCCAGCCTTCTCTGTTTCCCCGTGACTCCCTTTGGTCCCATCTCTAGTTCGCACCGAGAATCTTCCTTGTCATCTTAACGCTCCTCCTGAATTCCCTGAAGGGGACTAAACCTCGACCCACCGGTCACTGTGCTTTGTCCACCGGATTGCTGATTGACCCCATACATCTGCTCCCTCACTCCATGTGGTCTACCCCTTCTGGCCACCTCCATCTATGGGCCATACCCATCCTTCCCTATTATTCCACCATTGCCAGGCTTGGACTGATCGCCGGAAGTTGTCTTTTCTGTTGCCTCCGGCACCACTGGTTTCTTGACCTGGCACTGGCCTATCAAGTGGCCATACTGCCCACAATTGTAGCAGCTCATCCTCATATTCTCATACTCAATTCTCCATGTTCTCTCATCTAAATCAAATTGAGCCTTTAGTGGTTTATCTAGATCCACCTCTATAGCGACCGTGGCAAACTTGCCCATTGTTAATGCCGCCGTTTGGTGGTTTATACGTACCACTTTATCCAAAAGTCTCCCTATGCTCCTCAAAACATGCTTGTTATAATAGTGTACAAGGATTCACGGTAACCTTATCCAGACAACCATGGACTTGATTTTATTAGTTTCCGCATCAAAGTCATGCACCCAAGGCTAGACATGGAGATACCCATCCAATAACACCCAAGGTCCTCCAGTCAAAGTGTGGATTGCATCCTCTTTCCTGGCGAATCGAACCAGAAAGTTACCGTTATTATAGTACATTACCGATTGCCCCTCCGAATCCGGCCATAGAGATTCCAACCTGTCACTCAGGGTTGCCGCCGTCACCTTCTGCTCACTCATAAGTTTGACATAGACTACATAATTCTCCCACGGCATTCCCATCATGTCCTTCACTCTCTGAGAGAAATTGATTTTTGACCTGTTTTCTTCATCCACAATTTCCAGATCATCCTCCAAAATATCAAAATCTTCATCCTCTTCGAATAATTGGATCTCCTTTCTCTTCTATTGTCTGAGCAATCTTTCCCGAAAGGTTCCCCTCCTCGAGAACCCCTGATCTGTTTCATGTCCCTGAAATCTTGGTTTTTTGATTTGTCTATCATTGGTGAGTGCTGGTGGATCTTCTTTTGAGTGGTATTTCAACGGTGGAAAGGGTGGGTTACCCTCCCCTTCCAGGGGTCGTAACATCCAGTCACCGTCCGGTCTATTAATTGAGAGAGCTTTCTAGAGAGGTGTTTTAGTGAGAGGAAGTCAAAAAAGTTCTTTTCCAATTCTTTTTTAGTTTACTTCTCTCCTTATTCCTTACAAGGGATGAAAATGATGTCCAAAATGCTCTTTCGTCTTGAACAAATAGAATTTTTATACTCAAGATTTAGGTAATTAAGATAATGGCAATTCAACCTTTAATAAATTGAACCCCATGGTACCAAAGATTAGTAAACAACACAACAAATTGAGGAAATGATAGTCATTCACTAGTTAGAGGAATTTTTTGGATAGTGTTGCATTCCGGTTGAAAAATTAAAAAAAAAAAAATAACAAAACTGATTTGGGTCAGTTTGAATTTCTTTCTGGGCTTGGTCTATCTTGTTAAATCTGGTCTAATCCACTACATATATCGACCACCAGATTAGGTTTTCTTTTTTCCCCTTGAAAATACTAGATTAGGTCATTTGCTCTTACCTCATTCATATAGTAAATACATATCATCATTTCTCCTAGGCCGCCGTGAACTACTTCGCGATAAAGTGAAGGGTATTGGAAGCGCAAGTTTTGTTGGTGGCTGGAGTGGATTTACCAATACCATCGACGCAGGAGCACTTAATCGGAATTTTAACGAAGAGGGATCTACGGGAGCATGTAGTTCTTGTCACCGGGCGGGTAGCCTATAAGGGCTGAGCAGGAGTAATATGACTGGTAAGATCTCCAAACTCATCAAAAGAGTTAACCCTTTTGAATCCCATGTAGTTGACACGATTTATGTCCAAGTTGTACATCATACAAAAATTGTGACATCCACTGCAAATTTTGAGTTCAAGAATCCAAATACATAAGGAATCTAAACATTCATTGTATGGTTTTCCTCTTCTGTTCTCAGCAGTGATTGAAGAGATGAAATGTATTACGGACTTTGATGCCTTTGAAGCGTTTCAAGGTAAAACTCAGTGTATTGATGCCCAGAAACTTTCTAGTTCAGGTGAATTGGCATCAATGGATAGAGGAGATTCTTATGATATGGCAAAGAAGATACTTTCTGAACCTTGTGTTGACGGCCTTAGCTTTGGTCTGACCTGGTAATTCAACTTAGATACAGTTATGACGTTCTCATTGAGAGGTTAGTTAAATTGCTCCCTCTTTTACTTTACCAATAATCTTGCATTGGGGACAATACGTGTTTTTGAGCATTACACTTTTGAACTGCATCAAATGCATTTTTTGATTGGTAGATATCTTGTTTACGATACTTTTTGGAATAATTTGGGGGTGGTTTGACAATTGCATTGTGTTTTTTTTTTCTGAATATATATAAATGTGTTGTTAATATGTGCATTTTGTTTGTGTTTGCTAGAGAACAAATAAAGTGGAACCGGATCCACCCTGCGATTGGTGGATCCAGATTGATCCACTCCCAGCGGACCTAATTTTTGCGCGTATAAGACAAACATCCATGAAATACTCAAATACTCAAACACGCTTTCTAAACACAACTCCCCACATTTCATCTGTTTCTTTTCCGATGCAAAAGTATTTCCGGCCAAGAATTTTCGCAGTTCCAAATCGATAGCATTTTCGGCCATTTTTTGGCAAAATTTTCCGATGAAACACTATAAAATATCAACGGATCTTCCATTTTATCTTCAAAAACGGCTTCTCCGGAGGAAATTTAGGCTATATATGAACTCGATAGGTACATTTAAACTATAACTTAAGATTCAATTTTAATTCTTGATTATTAATTTTTAAAGTTCATACCACTGAGATTCTGTAAGTTTCATGCTTTTTTCTATGATATTGATTCATTATTGATTTAATTCCAAGTACTTTCCGCTCTAGGGTTTTAAGCTTCTCAGATAAGTTCCTCCTGTATTATTTTGATGTACCTTCAAGTTGTTTCCTAGAGATCTATTGAAATTTGATGGCTCTTGAACCATATTATATGAAACATGGCACAAATACAAATTTGATGACCATAGGTTTAACAATGATGTTCCTGTGGTTTGTTCTTGATGTCCCTATGGTTAGGTCTTGATGTTTCAATGGTTAGGTCTTGATGTCCCTGTGGTTAGTTCTTGATGTTCTTGTGGTCATATTTTCAAGTTCCTGGTAATAAAATTTCAAACTGGTTCAGGTATTTTACGGTTCGCTAATTGACAAGAGCTCGCAATCAATGAAGATGATGTTGAAGCAGTTCTTGACCTGCCTCAAAGAGAAAAAAAAAGTAGAAATACTCAAAGATCAAGAATGACATTTCCCACCGTATGATAATATGGTTAAAGAATGGAGATCAAGGATGAAGAAACCTGTTGGTGACGCAACAGGAGATGTCGTTGTTGCTAAAATCCTTGCTAGTAGAGATGATTATGGTGATGAGTTCAAGATGGATTTCTTGATATTTGTTACATCAAGTTTCTTACATGGGACGAATAGCACAAAATTTTACTATAAAGTGATCAAATCACTAGCAAACATCAGTGAAGTCAAGGAATATAATTGGTGCCAGTTTGTCATTAAGGCACTAAATGATGGTGTTGACCATTATCAAGATAAAGGCACCTTCTACGGACCAATGTCATTCCTGACGGTAATTACTAAACTATTGACTTTTTTTTTTCATTTTTTTCCCCTCAAATAAGTTTCTCTTGTATTATTTTGATGTACCTTCAAGTTGCCCCTTTGGTTAGTTCTTGATGTTCCAGTCATACTATTTTGATGTCCCTTCGGTTATTTTGGATGTCCCTATCGTTAGTACTTGATGTTCCTGTGATACTATTTTCAAGTTCCTTCGAGATAATTTTAACATTGCTCTTTTTCTTTCCTTTTTTTATTTTTTTTTCTACAGCTGTGTTATTTAGACAGATGTCGATACAAAGAATCACATCTTAGAAAATGGTCAGCTATTTCATGTTGGGATGAAGATAAAATGAAGGACAAAATTCAAAGAAAGGAGTCTAAAGGAGGATTTGGACGTGTGTATGTAGAAGATTGCGTCAAGAAACCCGGTACTAAATGTTTAAATGAAGATCAATCTTAAATCTTTGGTAATCAAAATGCGAAGGTATGATGTTTAAAGTGCCTTTGATAGTCGATTGATGTTTGCTTGATACAACTTTTAAGTTCCTACAGGAATTTACATCTACTTTTCCATACTGCACAACAATTTAAACGTAGGAAGAGGAAGCATACATCACAAGCAGATCCTGTAGTGCCGACAGAAATCAATTCTCCTGCACAACCTCAACCAATATAAGTACACACACAAAAATTCAAAAGCAACCACCGGAACAAGTAGTTTACCCTGCACAACCTTAACCAAGTACAAGTTCAAGCGCAACAAGTCAAACCCAGCAACAAGAACAAGTGGTTTCTCTCATACAACAATAACCAAGGAACCCACACCAAGCATTGACCCTATCACAAGCAAAAAAGATTTTGACGAAATTACAACCACCAATGGATCGTAAATCCAATCAAGGAGAAGGAAACAAAAAGGACATGAAAGACAACAATTGAGTGTTGTTGTGCGTGATGCAAAGAAAAAAAAAACTGTAAGCAAAAGCACAATTTGAAATCTAAGCAATTAGCTCTTATAGACCAAGAAGAAGAGCAAAAGCTGCAACACAAGAAGGAAGTGATTCAGAAAAGGGTATCACCTCAACAACTTTGTGAGCTCATTCCTAAACTAGATGACAAAAAGAAAGGGGAAATCATGGATATGGGTTTTGGTGCACTACTAGAAATAAAAATCAAGACGTGCCCCAAATCGTTGTGTAGAATTCTGGTGGGAAGATTCCAATTTGGTTCAGGTATTATACAATTCGGCAATAATGGCCAAGAGTTCATAATCATTGAAGACGAATGAAGCAGTTCTTGGTCTGCCTCGAGAAAAAAATAAAGAAATAGAAATATTCAAATCAACTGAATGATATTTCCCACTGTATAATGATATGGTTCAACAATGGAGAACGAGGACGAAGAAACCTTGGGGTGAAGCACCAGGGGATTAAGTTGTTGCTAAAGTCTTAGCTAAGAGAGAAGATTATGGTGATGACTTCAAGAGGGATTTTTTGGTATTTGGGACATCAAGTTTCTTACATGGGACGAGTAGCAAGAAATGTTATTTAAAGGTGATGAAATCACTTGTAAACATCAATCAAGTCTAGAAATATACTGGTGCAAGTTTGTCATTAGGACACTAAATGACGGTTGTGACCGGTTTCATGGGACTGGCAGCTTTTTTGGACTAATGACATTCCACTCCTAAATTAATTTTTTTTTTCTTTTTTGCCCACTCAAATAAGTTCCTCATGTATTATTTTGATGTACCTTCAAGTTGTCCCTTTGGTTAGTTCTTGATGTTCTTGTGATACTAGTTTCACATTCCTGTGGTTATATTTTGATGTCCCTGTGGTTAGTTCTTGATGTTCCTGTGATATTATTATCAAGTTCCTTCGAGATCATTTTAACATTCCTCTTTTCTGTTTTTCCCTTTTTTTTTGCAACTGTGTTATTTGGACACATGTCGATACAAAGAAACACATATAAGAGAATGGCCAGTTATTTCATCTTGGAATGAAGAAAGAATGAAGGACAGAATTAAAAGAGAGGAGTCTGAAGGAGGATTTAGACGTGTTTATGTAGAACGTTGCGTCAAGAAACCCTATATGGAAGATGATCAAGGTTCCAAAAAAGATGCTGCACGTTCAACCAAAGATCATTAAGGAATCTTTGGTAGTCAGGATGCGAAGGTATGCTTTTTAAAGTGCCTTTGATAGTGGATTAAGGTTCCCCTGATACAACTTTTAAGTTCCTCTGGCCCTTTTTTTTTAAAAAAAAGTGTTGAATTTAATCCAAAGTTCTTTCCATATTGTTTTTGAAATTCCTGGAATGATGTAATAAAGTTCCTGTAATATTTTAGTAAAGTTCCGCAATAGACTTTCAATGTCCCTATGATTATATTTTGAAATTCCAGCAATATATCACTAAAGTTCTGGTTTGTGTACTACATGTATGCTTTTTAAAGTTCCTTTGATAGTGGATTTATGTTCCCCTGATACAACTTTTATGTCCCTCTGGCCTTTTTTCTTTAACAAAAGTGTTGAAATTATTCCAAAGTTCTTTCCATATTGTTTTTGAAATTCCTGGAATGATAATGTAATAAAGTCCCGGTAATAATTTAATAAAGTTCCTGCAATAGACTTTCAATGCCCTATGGTTATAATTTGAAGTTCCAGCAATATATCACTAAAGTTCTTGTTTCCATACCACATGTATGCTTTTTAAAGTGCCTTTGATGGTGTATTGATGTTCCCCTCATACAAATTCTAAAATTTTGTAATATAACCTGCCAAATTATGTCCTTATTCATACACAATATGTCATTGTTTAACCAAAAGCTTTTCAGTTCAATAACTAGCTTGGGAGATATCATCGCTGAGATCCATGGAAAAGAAAAGGAAATAAATGTGGAGCCCCATGAACGTGTTAAGGTGACTTTGAAGTCACTAGCTGAAGCAACAACAACTGATCAAGAAACAGAAGAGGATCAGAATAATCAAGCAGAACTTGAAAATTTTACACAGTTTGTGGAATCTGATGATTTCATGACGAGTTATGACATGTGCATGCAATCAATTGAGACTCTGAAGCAGCAGAAATAATCCACCAACCAAGCTGCAAACCAAGTTGATGAGCCTCCTAAATGTACAGGTGCTGCCATACCTCCACATCAGAATGAAGAACGAACAGTGGAGCACGTGAATAACTTTGAGAATGAGAAAGAGTTACATCAATGCCCTAATCCTGCAGAGCAATTTCCTCATCTTCCTAATCCTGCATACCTGGGGCAAATGGAAAATAACGTTAGTGATATGGTTCATTTATTAATTTTAGAAGAACACTCGCAACATACCACTGAAGAAGACAGTCGTTTGCAAGCTGTGATTCAATCTTTATAGCCTCCACCAGAACAATGCTTGGAAAAATGGCAGATGATTTGATGCAACTTTCATCAGCAGGAGTAAGTGTACCAACTTCACCTATGAGCACCAGAATCGCGAATGCATCTCAATCAAGTGTCAATTGTCAGTTCATGAGTAGATAATTCTTCTAAATATCAGACACCTCTTGCTGCTCCAAGGCCACTTGATAAAAATGATGAGGATAAATAAATACGCGCAACAATAAAAAGGAATTTGCATGGAAATTGATAAATCTTATTTCAATATCACTCGGAGTTCGTTGATGGTGTATCTAATGTTTTGTTATGATGGATCTGCACTTTGCCCTCTTTTAACAGAATGTAGGTTGTTGGATCTTGAAAAGGCACCCAGAAAGAATCCTAAAAGGATCAAGTTCCTGCCTGCTTGTCAGAGGTCCCCTTATGTCAGGCGAGGACAACGCAAGTCACTTGATAAAGAGCTGACTGAAGAGGAGACCATTATATTGGATTTTGCATTCTTAGCAGGAGGAGTGAAGATTATGTCGAGAAATGGCAAGATTCAGAAAATTACACCAGTTTTAATCTAAACATGTTGTATTCACCTAGCATAGTACCTGTAAAACATGTATTAATTGTTTATCAGCATGTTGAATTAGGATTATGCAAGGTCTTCTAAGAAATTTGGTTTATAACTTCCACAAATGCAGTAATATCCTGTTCTCGTACGAAGATCTTGCAAGTTATGACAGATTATCATTATGGTCAATGAGGCCCGGTGTCTAGATTGAACAGAGCATATAAGATGCATGGAGCATCCACCTCAATTATTTAGAGATGATGAAAGTGTAAAAAAGGGTTGCGCATGTTTATTTTACCACAACACTTTTCCAGATCATTAAAGGTAAATACGATGACAAGTTCAATGTTGACCGGTACCTCAAAAGATTCATTGAGCAACTGACAGATGAAATGGAGGGTCAAAATATATCTTTGGAACATATCAAGGACGCAGAAGTGATACGTACTGCCTCCTAGTTAGTTTGAATATGTGCACTACTTTTATAAGTCCCTTTGGTTATTTCTTGAAGTCTCTGTGATTATTTTATGAAGTTGTTGTGCTTATGTTTTCAAGTCCCTGTAGTTCTATATTGATATCCCTATGATTATGTTTTGAAGTCCTTGTGGTTATATATTGATGTACCTGTGGTTATTTTTTTTTTTCAAGTTCTTTCCATACTGTTTGAGTTCCTTCAACAAAATTTTGAAAGTACCTCTGCATAATATCTGATATGTTCAAAGTTGAGGGTTTTATAGTTTTTTCTGCATACTAACATTGTTTAACTATATGGTGAAGGTGTTTTTCCCAGTTTACTATGAAGTCCACTACTACATCTTCTGCTTCCCTATGAAATCAAAAAAGCTGCATGTCATAGACAACCTGTCAAACATTCAAATATGTTTACATTCTGCCTCCAATGGTAAGTGAAAAAACAACATATTATCCGTGATTATTTGTTGTCTTTAAATTTTACTGTTTTTTAATAGTTTTTCGTTTAATACAGCTAGATGTTTTCAACAAGTTCTTGGAACAACAATTCCCCAAGGTACAGGAAGCACACATATAGCCCACGCTTTTATGCAAGAGTTCTAAAATTCCAATGGCAAAGCACTGAGAACAAAATTGATTGTACTGCTTATGCCATGCATCACATGGAAACTTATAATGGAGAAGGGGACGATTTTATGTCAGAGCTTGCATATTATAGGGCCACATTACATTGAAAACTACTGGAGCAAGTACATGGCCCAATTGCTAATGTCTCCAATGAATGAAATGAGGCAACAGTTGATCGAAGATACAGCAAAGTTCTACAACGACACTTCCGCAGATGAGTGTCTTCCAATCAACAAAAACATAGATATTGGTGTAGTCTACTATGGAGATAAGCAAAGTAACGGACTTATGCTTTTGTTCAACCACTCTTTATATTAGAAATGATGCTTAAGGATACTACGTAAGCATTTTGAATGTAGTTTACCTTAAACTTAATTTTACTTTAAATGCCTTTGTATATCTTTTGAAGTTCCTTCAATATACTTTCAAATTTCCTGCGGTACTTTGTAGACGTTCCTTTCATATAATTACAAAATTTCTGCATCATTTTATAGATGTTCTTTCCATATAATTACAAAGTCATTTGTTTATTTTCTTATGTTCCCTCAATATTATTTTGAAGTTCCTGCAATGGTTTAATAAAGTTTTGTAATAATTTAATAAAGTTCCTATAATAATTTTGAAGTTCCAGAAATCAACTACAAAGTTCATGTGGTTAGGTTTTAAAGTTCGTGTTGTTATTTTCGAAATTCCTGTGGTCATATTTTGAAGTTCCTGTGGCCACATATTGATGTCCCTGTGGTTATTTTTTGAAATTTCTATGGTTGTATTTTGAAATTTCTGTGGTTATATTTTGAAGTTCATGTGACTATATATTGATGTCCCTGTGGTTATTTTTGAAGTTCCTGTGAATATATTTTATATCACTAATTAAAATATATAAATTCAAAATTCGCTTTTTGCCAGCAATTAGATCCTAACCATCAAACTGGTGCTTAAACCCTTCTAAACCCTAAACCCTAAATGCCGGGAGAGGGGGCGAGAAAAATATGGTTAGAATTTAAGCATTTGAACGAGACCCTAACCTAATCAAAATGCTAAAATTCAAAATCGGGTTTTCACCCGCAACTAGACCCTAAACCATCAAATGGATGTTTAAACCCTTCTAAACCCTAAATCCTCCTAAACCCTAAACCCTTTGAAACCGTAAACCCTAAACCCTAAACACCAGGGGGAAAATATGGTTTGAATTGAAGCATTTGAATTAGATTAACCCAATCAAAATGTTTAAATTCAAAATTGGGTTTTCGCCCGCAACTAGACTTTAAACCATCAAGCGGGTGCTTAAACCCTTCTAAGTCTTAAACCCTTTGAAACCCTAAATCCTTAACCCTTCTAAATTCTTTGAAACCCTAAACTCTAAACGCCAGGAGGAGAAAAATATGGTTTGAATTTAAGTATTTGAATTGGGTTAAGGACTCGTCTATTCAAAATGCTTAAATTCAAAATCGGATTTTCACCCGCAACTAGACCCTAAATATCAAGCGGGTGCTTAAACACTCCTAAACCCTAAACCCTAAACCCTAAATGCCAGGGAGAGAAAAATATGGTTCTACGAGACCCTAACCTAATTCAAATGATTAAATTCAAAATCGGGTGTTCGCCCGCAACTAGACCCTAAACCATCAAACGGGTGCTTAACACTTCTAAACCCTAAATCCTTTGAAACCCTAAACCCTAAATCCTTTGGAACCCTAAACCCTAAACTCCAGGGGGGGAAATGGTTTGAATTTAAGCATTTGAATTAGGTTAGGGTCTTGTAAACGAGACCCTAACCTAATCAAAATGTTTAAATTTAAAATCGGGTTTTCGCTCGCAACTAGACCCTAAACCATCAAGTGAGTGCTTAAACCCTTCTAAACCCTAAACCCTTTGAAACCCTAAGCCCTTCTAAACTCTAAACCCTAAACCCTTCTAAACTATAAACCGTAAATGAGACTATTATTAAGATTTAATAGTCTTGAAACTTTTTTATGGATGTACCTTATAAATTTGATGTGCCTCTTTTGAACTATATTGTTGGAACTTTAAATAATCATCACGGGTACTTTGAAACAATATTATTGGAACATCAAAATATTATCATAGGAATATCAATCACTCAGGACGAGAGAACTTCAAACCTACGTGTCAAGTACGTAAAAAAAATATATTTTTTGAAAGTTCTAATGTTCTAACAATATACTTTGAAAGTCCCTGTGGTTATTTTTTGAAGTTCCTGTGATTATTTTTTGAAGGTCTTCTAGTTATATTTTGAAGTCCATGTGGTTATCTTTTGATTTACATATAGTATGTTTTGAAGTTCTTGTGGTTATTTTTTATATCACTAATTGAAATGTTTAAATTCAAAATTCGATTTTTGCCCGCAACTAGATTATAAACATCAAGCGGTTGCTTAAACCCTTCTAAACCCAAACCCTAAACACTAACAAGAGAAAAATATGTTTTGAATTTAAGGTGGTTATTTTTTGAAATTCCTGTGGTTATATTTTGAAGTCCCTACGGTTAATTTTCGAAGTTCTAGTAATATAGTTACAAAATAGGCAACTTAAAAAATTAAGGCTATAAAAAAATATAATTACAAAATTCAAAATACATATTTTTTGCAATTGAGCAATATATTTTTCAAGTTTCCCTAGCTAGTACTTTTTTGACGTAACTGATATAATTTGATGTTCCTGTGACTAAACAAGTTTAACGCTACAATTCTATCACAGAATTCTAATATTCTTGCAGTAACATTTTAATGTTCCTGCAGTATCTTTTTCATGTTCTTACATATACATTTGCTCATAGTACTCTTCTCATTAGTACTATAAAATAGCACATCCATTTGGAAAAAAATGATAATAAAAACGATACTGCAGATATTGAAACATGTATATTTGTAACGATTGTAGTTTACAAAATTTCCAACTATGGAAAAGCTAAAACTGTGGAATTAATAAAACGTCTTGTTAAAAAAACAAACAGTGGTAGCCTCTAACCGATCAGAACGCAAAGGATCAGAGGAATATGGTGTAGTAGTTGGATGTTGATGAGCAAATTGAGGGTCATGATGTTGAGAGTAATTCGGAACACCTGCACGCTAAGGGATGTATGGTATATCATGAACATTTGTAGGAGAATATTGAGGAACACCCCCAACAGCACATGAGAAAGGATGCATATCAACCCCAAAAGACTGAAAGGCTTGTTGCATAATCCTCCTGCCGATGACTATTCCCAAACAATCCGGGAAAATTATGACGTAAATCATCAACAACTGCAGCTTTTGTTCTTTCAGCGGCATGTTTCCCCCTAGCTCGATTTGTAACATTCTCCACTGCACTTTTTTGCCGCTTGTTTCGACCACCTGTTTCTTTTTTTTGAACACTGGATCTTCTGGACTCCCATCATCATTTTCTACAGTAACCTTAGTTTCACCAACAAGAGACTTCACTTCTTCATCCAACTTTGCAACTGCTCTTTCACAACAAATCCAAGCATCTTTATGAAACTCACTAGAATAAACGAATCGGAAAATTTTTTTATTCTTAGTGCCTTCCATATTGATTATCCACATTTGAGATTACCATCTCGAACTTTGTTGATATCACCTCTGTCGCCAAAAAATTTAGTTCACCTCTTGAATATATACTGTTGAGGAATCTCTCGAACACAATTCAGATTGATCACCCGCAATATATGCATACATAACATTCCAGCCTCACTGTAATAATTGCACGTACAAGTAAAATATTGGCACACGCGATCATAAACTACAAGGTGTTTAAAAACTTCAAGACCTTGCCGCCAAACATTATAAGCCAATGAAGTACCGCCAGCAGTTGATAATAACTCGTACTCGCATGACATTACATCTTGGTGCAAAAACTGAACCTCAATAAATGCGCTGATAGTATAAACTTCTCTTACACTCTTTAAAAATGAATCATTTGGGAGATACATGGCTAACCTGCCTTGATTACAGCGATGATCCTCATCCCTGCTGACATCCCCTTCCATTTAGATACAATATCAATAAAAATGTGATAAAAATCACATAAAGAAGAAGTGGCTCTCATCTTCATCGATATTGTATGATTGGTTGATTCACTCCTTTGTGAAGACAAAATACCACCAGAGAAGAACTTTTAAGTAAAGACTAGCCACCACATATGCCTTATAGGATACAAATCCTTCAACCACTTCTCATCACGACATCCATAAGTCAAGCACAACCTATATATTAGAAAAAAGATACAACAATATAGTATCAATATAAAGAATAAAGTATAAAGGCACACACGTTAAAACCAAAATAAGAAAAAAAAAACCATAGACATTTGAAGTCCCTGTGGTTATATTTCAAAGTCCTTGTAGGTTATATTTTAAAATCTCTCTGGTTATATTTCAAAGTCCATCTGGTTATAATTTGATGTCCCTCTGGTTCTAGTTATATTTTGAAATCCCTCTACTTATATTTTGATGTGTCTCTGGTTTTATTTTGATGTCGCTCTGATTATATTTCTCGAAGTTCCAACAGATTATGTACTTCACATACACATTAAGAGCAGATTTAACAACAAAATGTATCAAATTTAAGATTCAGTT